TTATAATGCTATAACTTATTGAAAAGTGTATTGATCAATATAATTTTTTTATGGGAAATACTATTTTCTAATAATCTCTTTTTTATTCGACATACTTTGTCTTAATCAGGATATTAATAAGGAACTAGCAGTTTATGAAGCTTTTGGAATAATCCACCAATTTTTTAAAATTAAACACTATCTAAAGATTTGCATCGAAGCGTTTTTTTTTGATAGTGATTTTAATCACTGTCAGATATCATTATACTTGATCCATCTATACCACGTCACCACTGTGCCGCGACCCCCCTGTGCTGGGTTTTTTTAACTTGAGTTTTCAAAACTTCACAATTTAATTAAATTAAGTTTTAATTGGAAATATCACGCGTGTGAACATAAAAAATTCAAACTTTTTCCAGAAAGAATAAAAAAAACAAACTCCAAATATTATTTCGAATTTAATTATCATTGTCATCATAATTTCCATAGTTCCTATCTCAACTATCAGGAGTTGGCTCTATTTTATTATTATTTGACAGGTGTAGATGAACATATTAATTATATAAATTGCGAGTCTTTTTTAAGCATTTCTAAAATTTAAAATTTAAAAAAATAAATAAGATCCTTTTCTTAGGTATTTTTTTAGACCCATGCCTATAAATAAACCAAATCTTTCAAAATATTATAATATATATTTATACAAATGGATGTCTATTTATCATATAATTCTTATACGTGTTAATATTACCATGATGATCAGTATATATTTAACCTTCAATAACCTAGTATTTTTATTCCCAACTCCAACCCAACTAAATCCGGCTTTGCAAAATGACTACAGTTCATTTGATATACAATTGTTGTGCATAATAAGGGTTTTAACACATTCGGCCACATATACAAATAAAAAAAAATGTATTTTATCCTAGTTACAAACATAGGTGTCCGTAAGAACTTTTCAAGAAGTGGCAAAAAACGTTTATCAATATTTCATTTTGTTGATTAATAAGGGGTATAATCGAGTCATTGATTTAGGAATTACGATTTTTTGAAGGCCATACACAAAAAAAGTAATTTAAATATAACAACGATAGCACAGTGGGGTTGTGCATAGTTGGGACAAGTATAAATGAGTCGTCCAGTTGCAAAAGGACGTATGTCCTAACAATCAAAGTTTTCACAATCGATGAAAAACTGATATTTTCTCTAATATTTTATAAATCACTGACATTTTTTTAACAAGACCTCCAAAATAATATAATATATTTATTTTATGAATTATAGAAATCGTGGATAAATAGTTTTTTAAATAATTTATGTTTTAATTTGGACATACTCTTTTTTGAAACTAAAATACGGACTTACTCACTNTTTTTTTTATTGATGAAATTCATTTATTTTAATAATAAACAACAAAAATAATAAAAAAATTACCTACACATTTAAGCTAAGCTTGTCGTGGTGTAGGGAGTAACAGTAAACATATTTTAAGATTATTCTAAAAGCAACTCTTATATCCTTAATTATATCTTGATTATTAGTTCTTCAATTTATAAGTTTAATATATAAATAAATACTTAGTCATTTATAGTTTTAATTATAATAATAAATCTTAATATGAAATTAACATTCATTAATTTAATATTGTAAATTTTACAGGAAAATTATAAAAAATTATTAAGTATTTGTACATTTTGTTACTTCTATAAAAAGTGTTGATATAAAACTTTTCAGAAAATAATTTGAGATAATATGGTTTAAATCGGTATACAAGTTATTTTTAGATAATTCGCGGGACAGATTATAACAAATATTTTAATTTTTATATTACATTAAACAAGCACAAGTAGTTTCAAAGAAAGATAGATTGATAAAAAACCAAATGTTTTAGTTGATTATCTACTACTCGGCATTCGTTTTCTATGAGATACAATCAGCAGCCTCAAAAAGGAATTAGCGTGATTGACCGAGTCTGATATGGTCATAAACTTGCACACGGTAATGTTGTTATTGTCGTTGATGGGAGACGACCTTTATATTACCATCAATCCTCGATCCTACCAATTTTACTTTCAGTATAAATAACATTGAAAGTATAAACTGACTAGTACTAGTTATCTTTCTGCACACTTAATTTTTTTTAATTTAAATTTACACATTTAATAATTGAAGGGTGCTTGTGTTGAATTTCTCTGTGGTGAAATTTTATTTTTAAAATACATACAGTAATATTGCCTTAGTTATATTTAAATAAATAAGGAAATAATAAATGTTCACTTTTTCATCTCGTAAATGCGATGACAAAGTGAACATTTTATGTTAAACTTTCTACTGGTAGTTTAACATACCTACACTTGAATTTGTGTTTTTTCGGCGTTTCAAGTATTTTTTATTTTAAATATAGAATTACAGCATAAAAATGTGCGACGAAGAAGTAGCTGCTTTGGTTGTAGATAATGGATCCGGAATGTGCAAAGCTGGATTTGCTGGAGATGATGCACCTAGAGCGGTATTTCCGTCGATTGTCGGTAGACCTCGTTACCAGGTATAAATACATTTTATTAAAAATATTATTTTGTTTTGCATAAAAAAAAATGTTCTTTACTTATAGGGTATAATGGTCGGTATGGGTCAAAAAGACAGCTATGTTGGTGACGAAGCACAGTCTAAAAGGGGAGTGCTCACTGTTAAATATCCTATCGAACACGGTATTGTAACTAACTGGGATGATATGGAAAAAGTATGGCATCATACGTTTTACAACGAATTGCGTGTAGCTCCTGAAGAACACCCAGTACTGCTCACTGAAGCACCTTTGAACCCAAAAGCAAATCGTGAAAAAATGACTCAAGTTCGTATTCATGTATTTATTTTTCATAAATAAACATAAGCTGAGTTTTTTTAATTTTTTATAAGCTTTTATTATGAAAATATAGCTCGAAAATTACATAGGAATTAGATATATAGTATAAGCTGAGTTAGAAGAAACAATAATGATACTTTTGTCCATCCCTTAAAAGTATTTTTAAAATCATTTTTTTTAATTAATCATTAAAAAACATTTTTAATATCATCAGAAATAAATAATAAAATATATTTTTACACTAATTTATGTATATTGACATAAATTAATAAATAATATGTGGATTCTAAATTTTATTAAGTTGAATCTATTTCCATTGAAATTTAAATACAAGCTATTAAAATAATAAATTACATAATCACATATATTTGAGTAAAATAATTTTTCTGAAAGTTTGTACTGGAGATAGGAGAACTGATAATAATAAAATACATAATAGTTTGATTAATTAAACCTTAATATGTTAAAAGAATTGAATTATTCAACTCTATTAACATCATTTAAACTCTAATTCATGAAGTATAAATATAAATGTCATAATTCCAACTTAATGGTGGTTATAGTTTCAATATTTATAATTTTACTTTGATGCGAAGCTGAGAAGGTATTGGCTATACTATAATGTGTTTTTTTTTATTTATTTATTTTTTTTTGCCTGTTACCACTTTTTCTCAGATTTCACCGAACCCATTNTATTTATTTTTTTTTGCCTGTTACCACTTTTTCTCAGATTTCACCGAACCCATTTCTTTCAACGATACGTCAAAAGATTACAAATCGTATCTAGTCGAAGACATTACCCTCAAAAATTGAAAAAATTTCCCTCATCCCCCTAAATGAAGGAAACCTCCAAAAAAATTACAAATTTAAAAATCGCTAATTTTCGAAATTTTTTAAATTTTTTTGACTTAAAATTGCTATAACTTTTTTAAAAATAACCGAATCAATATAATTTTTTTTTATAGATGTTTGATGTCTTTACCTATCATTTGGTATATTTTTTTTATAAATCTGATACTTTACCTGTCCACAGGGGGAGATTTAAAATCACAGCTTTTCCACAAAAAATTTACCTTTTCAACTTAACTTTTGAAAGTGTTCCGGAAAGTTTGACACTTTTATATATATCTTAAATTAAAGCTAATGTAATATACTTTATTATGGAAAAAAAAAAATTTTGGACTTTATTTTGTCTTTACTGTGAAAACAGACATCAAAGTTAATAAAAATACCCAACACAGGGGGGTCGCGGCACAGTGGTGATGTGGCATAGTTGGATCAAGTATAATGATATCTGACATTGATTAAAATCACTATCATAAAAAACGCTTCGATGCTATTCTTTAGACAGTGTTTATTTAAAAAAAATGGTAGATTATTCCAAAAGCTACATGATCTGCTATTGCCTTATTAATATCCTGATTAAGATAAAGTATGTCGAATGAAAGATGTATATATATTTTAAAGTTAAAAATGTAAAATACAAAATCGAGAATTTTCACACAAAAATAGCATTCGGTAGCCAATTTTACCCTGAAGACAAAATAAAGTACGACATTTTTTTTTCCATAATAAAGTGCNACCCTGAAGACAAAATAAAGTACGACATTTTTTTTTCCATAATAAAGTGCATTACATTAGCTTTAATTTAATATATATATAAAAGTGTCAGACTTTCCGGAACACTTTCAAAATTTAAGTTGAAAAAGTTCTACTTTCTAAATGCATTTATAAGATTTAAACCCCTCTTGTATATAGGGAAATAGTCCGATTTAAAAAAAAAGTATGTCGAATGAAAGATGTATATAAATACTACTTCTCATGAAAAAATTGTGTTGATCCATATACTTTTCAATATGTTATTGTATTTTAAAGTAAAAAATTTAAAATATAAAATCGAGAGTTTTCACACAAAAATAGCATTCGGTAGCCATTTTCACCGTGAAGACAAAATAAAGTCCGAAATTTTTTTTTTCCATAACAGTTTCAAAAGTTAATTTTTGGTGAAAAAGTTGTCATTTTAAATCTACCCCTGTGGGCAGGTAAAGAGTCAGATTTATAAAAAAATATATATCAAATGATAGGTAAAGACATCAAACATTTATAAAAAAAAATTATATTGATTTGTTCATTTTTGAAAAAGTTATGGCAGTTTTAAGTAAAAAAATTAAAAATTATTTCGAAAATTAGCGATTTTTAAATTTGTAATTTTTTTGGAGGTTTCCTCCATTTATGGGGAACGAGGGAAATTTTTTTAATTTTTGTGGGTAATGTGTTCGACTAGATACGATTTGTAATCTTTTAACGTATTATTGAAAGTTAAACCAATATCTTCTGAGCTATGCATCGAAGCTAATATTCAATTAAGAAAATAAATGGTTGAAAACAATAATTACAATATTAAATTATTAAATTATTAAATATTAAATTCATGCTAAATTTAATTACTTAATAAGTAATTATTTATAAATTATACTGATGTATCATAAAAATTTTTACCAAGATAAATAAGGGCATAGAAGTTCATGTTATTTATTAAACAATTCAATAATTTCTTCTAAAAATTAATATTTATAGATATGCACTGAAGCATTTTTTATGATAGTGATTTCAAAAACTGTTAAATATTTAGACTATTGATAGCCATTGATAACTAGAACTTTTTTTTGGAATGGACAGCCTTCTTCCTTAATATATTTATTGGATTGACATAAAAAATTCGAAATATTTATAATTGTCACTTAATTTTTTTTTTTTTATAAATAGGATGGGTTAAATGAGTTAATAGATCAATAATTTAAAAAATCACTAAATTAACTAAATATTCTGTTCTAAAAATATAAGCATAAATATTAAAAAAAAAAAAATTTATAAATAAACTGTAACAATACGAAAAACGGTGATTTCCTACACCAATGTAATATTTTTTGTTTAATTTCAAGGATCGTTTACATATAGAAGATAAATCGCCCATTTTTTTCATCAATTTGAATCTTTCCTAAAAACAAGAAAGGGTTAGATTTTCGAAAAAATATACTTATAAAAAATAAAATACCAAAAGCGCTTTAAAATAAATGTTATTTTAAGTCATTCATATGACAAAAAAATTATGACAATTGTTACGAGAGTAACAAATAGAATAAAATAAAATAGTATAGCCGAATAATTAATTAGTTTATTAAAAATAAATGTAATAGTAATCGCACAATAGTTGTCAAATGATGCTTTGAATTACAACAGTCGCAGTCGGTCCACTTTCCGGTTTTGCAACACCGAAAAATACCTTATAAACACATTCTTATAGGCCAACCTCGATTACAATTCAATTTATGATTATCTGTTATTATAATTGTAGAACAATAATAAAACTAAGTTAAGTATTCATAACACAATTCAAAGTAAAATAAATAAAATTTACTGATTCAAGAAATGATAATTTTTGAGGTATTTTCCTCGTTTGCATAGAACAAAGGAATTTTTTCCATTTTTGAGGGTAATGTCTTTAACTAGATACAATTTTTGATCTTTTGAAGTATTGATGAAAAAAATTGATCCAGTGTGAGTTGAGAAATAGTAGTTACAGATATTAAATAAAAAATTAATACTTCGCATTAAATATATTGAAAAAAAAATCATTAAAAAATAAAATTTTTAATTATAGAAATAATATTTTAAATTAGATTATGTTTGAAACATTTAATACGCCAGCAATGTACGTTGCCATTCAAGCTGTTCTCTCTCTATACGCTTCTGGCCGAACTACCGGTATAGTGTTGGATTCGGGTGATGGTGTATCGCACACAGTACCAATTTACGAAGGATATGCTCTTCCACACGCAATTCTTCGTTTAGATTTGGCTGGTCGTGATTTAACAGACTATCTTATGAAAATTCTTACTGAACGTGGGTATAGTTTTACAACTACAGCAGAACGAGAAATTGTGAGAGACATTAAAGAAAAACTTTGCTATGTAGCACTTGACTTTGAACAAGAGATGCAAACAGCTGCTTCATCAAGTGCATTAGAAAAATCTTATGAACTTCCCGATGGCCAAGTGAGATATAAATATTATAGATTATACGTGTTTAAGTTATTCAATTTGTCTGTTTATTTTTTAATACAGGTGATAACAATAGGAAATGAAAGATTCCGTTGTCCGGAGTCATTATTCCAACCATCATTTTTAGGAATGGAATCTGCGGGTATCCATGAAACCACATACAACTCTATTATGAAATGTGATGTAGATATTAGAAAAGATTTATACGCCAACACAGTGCTCTCTGGTGGGACTACTATGTACCCAGGTGTAGCTGACAGAATGCAAAAGGAAATAACATCTCTTGCGCCATCAACAATGAAAATAAAAACAATTGCACCTCCTGAACGCAAATACTCTGTATGGATTGGAGGATCTATTTTAGCATCATTGTCAACTTTCCAACAAATGTGGATATCAAAAACTGAATACGACGAAAGCGGTCCATCAATTGTGCATAGAAAATGCTTTTAAAAGTTTATAAGCTGACCTAAAATAATACTTTAATTACTTATGAAAAATATCCATACATATTTTTTTAATTTATTAAATTATTTATAAATTCAAACAGTACCACAAATAAATATTAAGAAAAATACTAACATAATCAGTAATTTTATTTAAAAATTTCATTATTATTTATAACATGAAATTTTTTTTTTATGGTTACAAAAAATAAAATGAATGAATATAAAGTGGTTAGCTATAGTACACTTGTGGGCCTTTGTTGTTATATACAGTAAGATTTATTAAGAATACTAGCCATCGGTACAACTAGGGTGCTTAGTTTCTCCCAAAATTATAGAAACTTATGTCATACAGTGAAAAAACTCTTAGTCTAAGCACTAACTAGTTAGAAAACTACTATTTAAATAACTTTTTAATATAGATAATTTTTTATATTATTAAACATACTGGGTATAGTAATATTATTTTAGTGCTATTCCTCAATGTTATGGTTGAAGCTATGACATCACAAGACCATTTGGCTACTTTTTTTTTTTTTTTTAATAATAACTCATTTTGACTTTTGCTAAATATATTTGAATAAACTCTGCTGCTTTTGTAGGGAAATTTTCTTGGTAATCAACTATAACTGATTTTAATTGAGTATTTTCCAGCTGTAGGTTTTCTATCTGTCTGAGAGAATTAATAAAGGCAAAAAGAAATTATAATAAATATTTTATATGAAATAATATTTATCATCATTGTGTTAGTAAAATGTGAATGATAATTGAATATTATTCTGCAATAGACAATCCTCATTCAATAAATAGATGTTACTTGTATTTTTACTAAAATATAAAATGTTTGATTTTAAGACTTAAAAAATAAAAATAAAAATTATTAAAAAAATAAAGTTGTTTGCCTATAACAGAAAGCCGTTAAATTTAATTTTTAAATAAATTAATATACACCTTTTCATTTCAGCTATTTTAGTATCTGCTGTAAAAGTATTAACAGGGTCATTGCTATTAGACAAAACAAGCTGTACAAAAGTAAGATTACATATTTTTTAACTAATAAAAAGTTAAATAATGTATTATGTAATTCTTGCATTGTTAGTGTAGTATCACATTTTAATATATGTAATAATTAATACTTATATTTAATAAAATATATCACCAAATCAGTGTTCCCCTATAGATAAGATGAATAATAAAATAATACTCTTACACAAGATTTAACCACCCTCTTACGCATTCCATAAAACGCCCACGTAAAAGATTCTATCACATTAACCAATCAAATACAGCAAAAAGTATTTCAAGAATCTCACCCAGAGATCGCTAAACCAGTTTTGCGGGCTATAAAAAGGCCATTTTCCCCCAAAGTCGGGTGATCTTTAACAGTGGTTATGTACGATTTCTAAACATCCCTGTCGCTGACACTGGGACATCTTGCCATTCTGTTTCTGCATCTCTACGGCTCTCTAGAACTCTGGAACTCTCAACCAATATACAAAAATTGAATGTGCGCGAGTGTATGTTTCGTTCTTAGTTACAATTCTATATAAAATCAGCACGATTTTTATGCTCTTTTGAAATTACTGGGATATATATTTTATTCCCAATTTTTTTTAAATTCAATTCACTTTTTATTTCAGTATATAAATATTTTATTCTCAATTTTTTTTAATTCCTTCAAAGTTCTTCAGAACATTATTTTTATTTTTAAATTAATTTTAAATACTCTTTTTTCTTTATATCAATAAAATTATTTTTTTATTATTCTTCTTTTTTTTTTATTTTTGGTATTTCAAAGTTATAAAATTTTTATAATTTTAATGCTTTGATTTTTCTGAGTAATTTTTTTTTTTTTAGAAAACCCTTAGTAAAATTTAACTAAGCTTGTTGTTTGTAGTAATACAAAAATAAGCAAAGGGTGTTTGGGGTATTTTTTACCAAAGTTGGATATTTGGAGATTTGGTCAATTCAGGAGCAATGAGGTACTATCAGGGTTGTAGAGTCCGAGGGCTTAAAACAATAGAGACAAGTAGATATAAAAAGAAATTATTAAAGTTTTTCTATAGAGATATTACAAATGACCTAACTGGTAAGTACCTGAAATAATACACTGAGACAACGAAGAGGCGGTGGCCATCTCACGAATACCATGTAATGTGATTATGTATAAGGCACGAACTAGTCAATAAAGTTTGAAAATAAATATAAATATGTCATCATTTGCTTTATCATTCTTTACTCAGATTATTAATTTTAAATAATTGGGTTAATATAAATTCACTTACTTCTTCTATTTGGCTGTACAAAGATCGTCAAGGTTTGCGTAAAGATTTATACTGTCCCTTTTAAATAAATAAAGTGTTAACGCAAAATAATTGTATTCTCGAAATCGTTTTAAAATGTACCGACGACAACACGGGGTCGCGGCTAGTTTGTTCAAAATAAATCAGATAGAAGAATTCTGAATTCCTTATTGAATTCAGATCTTCAAAAAGGAGAGAGAATGAGCCGCCCACTGGCATGCTCGCTCACTGATGTGCAAGCAGAACTAAGCCTTTTTATATTATTTTTAATTACCCACTTCATGGGTTGTTGCCGTCAGCGCTTTTAGTGATTCTCAATTTATTGTATTAAATTGAACATAACATGATAGTTATTTTAAGATAAGATGTATAGTATACAATAATCAATTTAACATATACAGGGTGTTCAGTAAATTAGGAAACAGTTAAATTGTTACAAACAATGAGTACAATAGAAATTCGTTTCCTTATTTACTGAACACCCTGTATAATAGCTAGTGTACAACAATGTATATGTTATGACAAATAAATAAATAATTTATTTGTATACTAGTAATATAAAATACAGATTATACTTTTTTCATTGATAAATGTAAAATGCGCAATGCAAAGCATTAGGCATATTACAATATTTTTTTGTTATATACATTACACATTCTAAGGTATTTAATTAGATTGAATTATATCTATTACTTATTGAAGGGCCATAACCTGGCTGGACTGGGTACTAGTACAATAATATAATAGTTAAAATTTTAGTTAATCACAAGATTTCTCCAAAGTGTCTCTCCATTTATCGACTAGCCAGTCTGATCTCTGCCACAGTGCGGGTAATCGGAATGTAGGAGACTAGTATAATCTATTGTGCAAAGAACCGAAATTGAGCTCGCATCTACCCTAGATCACTCTTTGGACGACTGAAAAGACGTAGGCTACTTGGAAATAGTTTGTTGCACAGGACAGTTATGTTGTTTAAAATTTCCATAATTGGTTTTATAAATGATTAAATAATAAATATATTAGTGTAAAACACCACACACAAGGTTAACGACTAATAAACTTAGGTTTCACCTTGGGTAGATTTGATATAGAATTGTACTAGAAAAGTAGTTACACGCGAGTTAATAATAACATAAACCGTATAATTTTAAATGCGTACACCGATGCATATACGTATATATCGATAATTGGTTACATCAACTACATCATTCATCTCAAGAGAATATCTGTCTTATCAGGAGGTAAGTGAAAACATTTATTTATATAATAAGTCTATAATAAATCCTTTACTGAAGAACTTTTAGTAATAAACAATTAGAACAAGATAGGTCATTGAAAATAAACTAATATACATTTATAAAGAAATACGATACTTGTGACTCGCCAGAAATTCGTGTACACGTTTCTGTACAGGAGCTAGGACCCTTCTTTGTAATTCCATCTTATTCATATATAGACGTTTTCCCGCAAGCAAACATACCCCGAGATCTCTTTCTATTTCATTTTATTATAGTCACTGTCCGGTACCTATAGCCACTTTTACTTTCCATTGCTGTCCATCCTTCTTTATACTACGCTCGTTACCACTCTTATTTCCTCATTGGCCACCTGCGTTACATTTCTCTTCCTTTCTAACACACAACCATCTATTTTTTACTTCTTTTTGTTTATTACATTAGAAAATAAAGTATTTTTACAGCTACTTGCTGCTACACAATTATCAGTTGATTCAACTGTCCAAGTGTTGGGTTGCAACTTTTTCATACTGCTAAGTTTAGCTGGACTTTATTATACCACGGGACTTTTGTGTGGTGTAATAATTTTCCTTGCACTTCTAACTTACTATCAACTAAACCCAAATATGTAATGAACAATAATAATTTTATTATAGTTTTAATATATTATTTTAATCTGTATATTTACATGTAAGCCTTTAGTTGGTACTGCATCAAATTTTAATATTCTTTTGCGTTGAAAAGAGTATTTCAACAACGTCTCAATTAAAGGCTTTTCAATACACGAATTATCAAAATGTTTTGAATATATACGAGCTATTGAATAACAATTAAAAATAAAAATACAATACCACAATTTGCTGATTTGTCAATGTCAATAAATACCATTGGTGAAGTTTAATGGTTTCATATGGTTTGGCCTGTTACAAGCTCTAAGCCATTTTTGACGAAATTCCTCTTGTTTTGGAAATGAATAAAAATTAATATTTTCTGATTTAAATTATAATCAAAATTAAAAAATAATTATAAAAAAATGTAAAGTGATATCTATGGATCTCTTATTTCTGTCTCCAATATATTTAATAAAAGTTTCAGTTTTTATATATAATTCGTAAATAAAATAGTAACTTATGAGCTTATAAGCCTATGAAAAATTGGTCTATAAAATATTGAAAGTTTTGTTTCTTAATTGAATTAATTTTATCTGTTATTTAAATATTGAAATTAAAAATTTGAAATAAAATTACAAGTATATTTTCAAAATATAAGAATGACTAATTTTATTGAAATTGTGTAAACAATTTTAATTTTACTCTATTACTCTAGGACAATACTATCACAATAATTGCAGGTTCCTTATAAGATCATTTTGGTATTTTATAAAGTAAAATAGTTTATGATTTAAGTATAGATTTTTACCAAATCAATACTATTCTTTTATCAATTTAAAATTGCACCAAAGTTCTATTTACTACACCCAGAGAAAAACCTCGATCTATATAATAAATTCATTGTTCAATTTGATAAATATATCATTACTATTGAATCAATGATATATTTATCAATATGATATTTTTTTTTCTTGTCTTGAACAATAATTATTTATAAGAATAGTTATTTTGTTCGTATTAATAAAACATTATCATAAACCCTTGATAAAATTTCTCTTTCAATTTTGATTGAGGTTTTTCTTTGGGTGTAGTGAGTTGTATTACACTTGATAGTGTAAGCATAGTAAACTTTCATTATGCATCTTTTACATAATTAGCAATAATCCTTTTATTAATTTATTTAAATATAATAATACATAGCAATATTGCAGATAAATTTATATTATAAATTGACACTTAAAGGTGACAATGAATCTTACCACAAAAACCGTTGCATTAATAATCTGTACAAGTAGGCATTTTTGCAAAATATAAAAAAAAATTAAAAATAAGTGTCAATTATGTCTGTTTATAATCACTACTAGAGGTTGCAATTGTGAACGGGTATTAGAATACACGGAAACATGGAGCCCGGATACACGGGCAAAACATATATTAAAGCCCGTGTATAATACCCGTATATTTAATACCTATGCATACATTGTATATTTATACAATATATATTGTATATGAAATACGATTTTACTTAAATATATGAGTATTTAAAGTCACGGGTATTTAAATGCCCGGGTATCCACGAATATTTTTTCCACACGGGCTTTACCCCGTCATAGGTAAAAACGCGGTTACCCGTGTAGTTCATTACACGTGTAATCGCGACCTCTAATCACTACACTTAAAGTCGATTTGAAAAATATTTATTAAACAGCATCAAACAAAAAAATACTCAAATATAGGTTAAAAAGTTACAAATCTCTACTATGAGACACACAGCAGAGAAATGAATAAAATACAACAATTTCATGCAAATAATAAGAACTTTTATTAGCAAGTTAAAGTGGTGTTAATTCAATGTTAGAACATAAATAAACAAGTCTGACACTAGTTAACATAATTAACATTTAATTAATAAGGTACAAAATCCTGATTTTTCATTAAAATACAAAAGATACAAAAAAAATACAAAGAATCTGAAATAAGTATCCATGATTAAACTTATTACAAAATAATATTACAATGCATTGTCTTAAAGTAATTAATAAAATTATTACTTAAAAATTATGTCTATCATTGAAATTATATCAGATTATCAATTTAAAAATCGCGCGACCTTAAAATTAGTGATGGGCATAATCGAGATATATAATCGAGATATCTCGATTATGTAAATAATCGAGATATTTCGATTATTGAAATCATATCTATTATATAATCGAGATATTCTGATTTTTTAAATAATATTGATTATTCTATAATCGAGTGATTATTTCTAATGATTTCTCGTTTATTATAAAAACAATGATTTCTTGATCTTNCCACACGGGCTTTACCCCGTCATAGGTAAAAACGCGGTTACCCGTGTAGTTCATTACACGTGTAATCGCGACCTCTAATCACTACACTTAAAGTCGATTTGAAAAATATTTATTAAACAGCATCAAACAAAAAAATACTCAAATATAGGTTAAAAAGTTACAAATCTCTACTATGAGACACACAGCAGAGAAATGAATAAAATACAACAATTTCATGCAAATAATAAGAACTTTTATTAGCAAGTTAAAGTGGTGTTAATTCAATGTTAGAACATAAATAAACAAGTCTGACACTAGTTAACATAATTAACATTTAATTAATAAGGTACAAAATCCTGATTTTTCATTAAAATACAAAAGATACAAAAAAAATACAAAGAATCTGAAATAAGTATCCATGATTAAACTTATTACAAAATAATATTACAATGCATTGTCTTAAAGTAATTAATAAAATTATTACTTAAAAATTATGTCTATCATTGAAATTATATCAGATTATCAATTTAAAAATCGCTCGACCTTAAAATGCATTCGGTAGCGGTCGTATTTTACCGATCGTATACGAATGCACAAAAACACAAGGCGATGCACATGCGCGTAATACGACGAAAATACGGACTATGATCGAGAATACTTCTTATTCATTTTACCATGGAACTGACCTCGAGAATACCACCTCTATCCAACGCCTTCAAATGGCGGCATATGTTCCCGGTCAAACACCACCACCACTATCTCTGTGTTTAACCGGTAAATGCTATCAATCTAGACTGATGCAGATAACGCCTTATGGTCTGAACAACAGTGTTACAATTATACAACAAAAATAATAAGTCACAAATCTGTTACTGTCACACTTCTCGTAATTTATGATAAAAATCTTATCATTTGTCGACCTAGTGTTCATACTTTAACGTACTTATCAACAATACTGATAGTTGGTAAATAAACATGTTATTAAATTTAATAAGTATTTATATTTCAATTAGTTTCCTTTAAAAAGTCACGTTTCTTAATATATTTTAAATAAATACATAATTTCATACCATTAAAATATATTTAAGTTAAATTTTTAAAAAATTAAAATAGAAATGGCTACTGAAGATGCATTTGATCAGGTAATTTATAAATATGATATTAAAATTTTGAATATACATTATTATATTTTTCAAATTTAATTTGTAAATATTAAATAAATTAAAATGTTATCATCAGAGTTAGAAAAATTATCTTTTATAAATAATATAATATTTGGAATTCCTTTTTTCTATAATAAATTTATTTATATTTTAATCTCCTAATTTTGGATTTTATTTTTTGTATATTTAATTAGTTGACTTGCCATAGTAACTTCAGTTATTGAAACTACTATCACAAATTTATATACTTAGAATTAATATCAGTACAATATTTAAACCTGTATGGTTTTTATAAAATTAATTTTGTTGTTAACTAAAATAAAAATTTAAACCTATTTTACAAAATCATTTTTTATATTAAGTATTATACATAAAAAGATAATCATTACTATAAGTAATTGACATTTTTTTTTTAAGGTTGGACAAGTTAATATGTTTTTGATCTCATTTAAATAAGATTATATTAGTGAGAGTTATTAAAAAGTTATACTAAATATAAATTTGGATATTTCTCAAAAATTCGTCATTTACTATCAGAATGGTTTATATTGCCAGAAATTAATCACTTTAATTTGTAAGGAGAAATTACTACCCTAACTGATTAAGTTATTGTTGAAGTATAATTATGCTAAAGCTTGGTCTGTTTTATTTTTCTATCAGAATTCTTAGAACCCACTTTGTTCCTTTTTATCTTTTTTCAAGTCTATTAAAAGGAGATTATTATGTTGTGGCTTTGGATTTTATATGCCTACTATTTACATATTAATATAAATTAGAATTTTAATATTAATTATATTATAAAAATTAAAGCCAAGAGAATTATTAAACTTTAAAAATGTAATTATTATAGTTTTGGCCTCAAGCCATCATCAGGTTACTTAAATTATAATAATAAATAAACATAAATATAAAAAAACGCTAAGAACACATTAATGATTATAAAAAACAAATAATAAATCATGTTACTAAAAATATATTAAAAATGTTACATTATAAAAATATATTGTAAGTATTTATGTTCTGGTTGATAAGTGTTAAGAGAAATTAAAATTGTTAACAATATATTGATAAGTTATGTTGTTTTTAAAATCTATTAGCTTGTTTAATAAGTTGTTGAAATTTTTTTTTTTTTACTTCATTATATATATATAAGGGTGTTCACTAAGTAAGGAACAAGTTTCTGTTGTTCTAATTGTTTATAACTTTTGACCTGTTTCCTTATTTACTGAATACTGTATGTAATTCTTCTAGGATTGTGTTAGTATATTTATTTTTGTTATTGTTTAAAATTAAAAGATCATTCTAATGAAAATTATTATTATTTTCTAGTACACCTGTCTAACAATTTTTTAAATTTCTATCTATATTATTACAATAAATATTAAACTAATTTTAGATACTTAGATATGTTTTTTGATAAACAGGACCTTTTCATTTTTACTCATTACTTTTTCATGGAAGTGACATTTTCTGATTTTCCACTAGATAGATTACATAGGAGAGCCCATATTGTTCTTAAGTCGACCTTGCCTAAGTCAAGAAATAAGATAGATTTTTAGATATTTCAAGTGTAAATGAAATATTTGATTACTTAATACTCTAATTTGCTTGAGTTATATCATTGATCTCATTTGTAATTATTTTTGGTCACTTGTCACATTTCGGATTTCAGAAAAAAAGCATATATAACTTGTAGTACTCTACAATGAATTAATGATGCATTTGTTTTAATTGTAGGTGTAGTAATTCTTGAATTTTAAACTTGGGTTTCTGAGTAAATATTCTTAAATTTAAGTTATTTTTTGGTAAAAAATTGAAGTACCTCCAAAAAAATGTCTGGTTTCTGACACTGATCAATACTATAATTATAGTTGAATCGATTATTTATGAAAGGGGCTAAGACCAAAAATGGAAACTTAAGGAAATTAAAAATAACTATTTCTATCACACATTTTTATGTGAAAATAATTATTTTAAATTTTTATACACTATACTTATTTAATTTTATGAATACCAATTTTATCATTTTTTTTTTAACCAATAGTGTGAGTTTAAATTAAATTAATATGAGCTTTTTCATAAACAAATGAGTTACTTTACTCTTTTCATAAATAAAATTACTAAATCATAAATGGGCTTATGTATAACATACTAAAATTACTTTACAAATATATTTTATTATAACCTTTAAAACATGTAAATCATTAAAAGGAATTTTTTTCCTGACTTCATGATTTTATTTCATTTTAATATATAACATTTTGTTAAAAATAAAACAATAAAATTTTAAATATTACAAAAGCTCATACTTAAGTTTTTTAAATTATAAAAGTATACTTAATTTATATCACAATATCTAAATTAATATTGTTTTATTAAAACTAACATATTTTTATTAAAATTTAATATTATAAGGTGAATACTAAAAATGTTATTTAAGTATAATACATAATATAAGTCACTAATATTTTTTTGGACACTAAAATGTTTATAAAATTTATGTGAAATGTATTGAATGTTAAAAATGATTATGGATGTATCTACATTTTCTTAAAAACGTGGATATAATTATAAACATTTCAAGCAATACGACAATTCACAATAGCTTTAACATATTCATATATTTTTATGTTTTTTTGTATATCTAAAATTTTTCTCCTGCATTGGACACATTTTTTATATGCCTTTGCTCAAAATAATGATATGAGAGAATTATCTTTTTCAAATTTGAAGGTCTTCTTTACAAAACCATTTATAAATTCTAACAAAAACAATACCTTTTTTATAAGCATTGAATTAAAATGGAGTATAAAATGACACATTAAATGTTTCTTTTTCCACTCTTTAAATGCTTTATAATGAAAAAGTAAATTTTTATAAAAAAGTTTCCACCATGTTTTAATATTAAGTATATCATTCCTATTTACCAAGTAAACTGAACATTTGTTAGGTTATTTGCTATCATTGCAGATCATTTTCATTAGCTGTTTCAAATCATAGTTGTTAGTTTTCTGTAGAAGAGGTGTTACTCCAATTGTAAAAGATGAATAAGTAACTTTATTAGATGATACAATATAGATTACATAACTTGTATGCAGATATAACACTTTACCCCCTTTTTTTTTATATTTTATATAATTATAATACAATAACAATATTTTATAATTATACAAAATAACAATTTAAATTAAGATTAAAAACAAATAAATTTATCAATATTCATATTCATCAAAAAACTAATATTGGATTGATTTTTTATATTAATTTTATCTGAAATAATTTTGTTTTCTTATCCTCGATTTATGTATCTTAATATCTTATACATCTTGATAAGATTTAAATCTTAATTGATTTGTATNCGATTTATGTATCTTAATATCTTATACATCTTGATAAGATTAAAATCTTAATTGATTTGTATGAGCAGTTCTTATTCTATTATTTAATTTTTTCCTTTTTAAAGATATTGCTGGTATCCACTTTAATGCACTTTTAAAATTATTTCTGTATTATATACTATCTTTTGGTTTAAACTTTCTTAATATAATTTCTTTTACTTAGTTTTTTATTTTATTTTACATTAACTTTTACAATTTTTGTTATATTTTCAAATTTTGTATTTAATTTATTTACAAAATTTCTTACTTTATATAATAATATTAAACCAAATGGCAATTGTTTTATTACTGTTGACAGTGTACTATTGTAAGAATTTGTAAATCGTAATATTTTTTTTTCATAGACAGTCTGTTATTTTGATTTTAATAAATATTTATTTAAGTATTTTTTTACTGTTTGAACATCCTTTTCCGCTTGTTTTTTATACTAACAATAGTATGATGGTGATTTAGTAATTTTTTTATAACATTCTTTGTCATAATTATTAAAACCATAAGAATTAAAAGGCAGATTATTATCTGATACCATTTCTCTTACTAAACCAAAATATGTAAAAATAGTTTAAAACACTTATATTACTTTCTTTACATTTACTCTATTCATTAATTTGACATCTACAAATTTACTAAATGCATCTACCAATATTAAATAAGTATCTTTAATAAAATTAAAAATCTATGTGAATGAACCCTTTCAAAAGGTTTAAACTTGCCTTTGGTCTGTTGTGCCCCACCTAAGACGAGGAATGGTAATGTGTTGGAGTGGACTGTAGGTTGTAATATGAATTAAAGTACACTAAACTTTTACGAATAATTACAATAATATAATTTATGTTCTAGAAATTACTGTTATTATGATATGAATTATAAATGAATAGTCTTCTAATAATTAATAACAAATTTATATTTATGTGATTCTTTATTCAACAATGGGGTTTCGAACACTATTGAAATTGCTTACCCAAACTATTAGATGACAACTTACTAATTAACTAACTAACTTAACCCCACTACAATAATACTATAATAATACCGATTTGTAACAGGCCATTAAAATGTTGTTACCACTTTTACGATACTTATCACTATTCATAAATAAACTAAATGTTTGAATAGAGCTATATTAAAATATCTATCATACGCAGTTGATTCCATTTAATAATTAACTATCCGTATATATCAACAGAACATATTTATTTTAAAAAATCATTTTCCAAAAAATTGTGACTGAAAAATAACCTCTCATAAATAATCGATTCAGTTAGAATTTCATTTAAATATTTTTTGGTATACATAGATATGATCATATATGATGAGTTGGATAAGTAAAGTGATGGAAATATTTAGGCATGTTGTATTTGGTGTGGTTTTTCGTATTAAAATTTTTTTTTATGGGTCAATTTATTGTGAATAAATAAATCAAAAGATTATCTGTTAAAACATTTAAAAAGTCTTTCAAATATTGAAAATTTTTCACTGAAAACCCGATCAATTATAATTGATTGGGTTAATCAATTTTAATTTCACCGATGTTAGAAATGTTGTTATTCTCAAGTATATTGAAAATTTGTGTTTAAAGATATTGTGGATTACTTGATAATCATTTAAACTGAAAAAATAAACTTTATGTTAATATTTATGATTATAAAAGTTTCAAAGTAATAGTTAATAATATTTCATATTTTGATATATTTTTACATTTTAGATTTTTAAAAATCAAGTGAGTATAGTAGTTAAAATAATATAATTTTACTTTTCAACCTTAAAATATTTTAGGAAATTAAAAATTAAAAAAATTTGAATAATTGGTCATATTTATTATAGTGTATCGTTTATTGTAATAAAATCTATTTAAGATTTTATTTAGTTTATAATACTGTTTTACATTTAATTCATCTCATCAAATGTTATTTGTAACAAAAATATGTTGTTAGAACCTTTAACTACTACTAAAATTTTTTTCTCTTTAATTAAAAAACGGAATAATATTAGTGTTACGTTAATTCAAAAACTGTAGTATAAATTAATTTTTTTTAATGGACATACCCATTTCTCCTTATTATTTCTAATATACACGGTAATTTTTTATCATAATCTACTTAATTACTTACATATTAAAAATAATTTAAACATTTTTTTTTTTATTATTATCGTTAGTTACACATTATTCTTGAATTACACAGCTCTATAAAAAAAAAATCGAAAGAATAGTTAAAAGTTAGGAAATCATGTGAATGTCAGAGATTTTTATGATTTGCCTAGAATCTTTAAACATTTATCAAATCTATCATATATTTAGACCATGTTAGGGTGGGCTGAGGGTTCCAAATCTTTCTGTTATAAATTTTAACATATAATCAAAAATTATATTAATAGATGATACGGTCCCGCGTGGCTTTGTGATACACGATGACCACCCACCTTCGTCAGCTGTTGCTCAACTACGTAGGTACAGTGAAACATAACATTTTTTTCCGTTTGATAGAGATAAAATGAGATAAAAAAAAATTCGATAATGACTTTTGTTGATACAACATACGGTCATTTATTAATATTATGGACAAATCGATACATCGTACTAATAATCTGAGTTGTTATATTAATAACTGTGATTATTGATATAAAAACTATAATGTTCGTTAACGTGAAAACCAGTATTATTGATTTGATATACAAAATTTGTTACATTAACAACATAATTTGTTAATTTGTAGCAATAAACAATTATTATTGATTTCATTAATAATATTCTTACATCAATAAAAATGTTTAATTGACTCAATGTATAGCTTTTGTAATCAAATAATTATGTACATTAATATAATTATAAATAATGTAAATATTTGTTTTATCTTAATATTTTTAAACTCGCCCACGAGTGTTTTAAAATTTCGATCGTTTTCGAGAAAAATGTTAGCTGACGGCAGCGNAGTGGACTGTAGGTTGTAATATGAATTAAAGTACACTAAACTTTTACGAATAATTACAATAATATAATTTATGTTCTAGAAATTACTGTTATTATGATATGAATTATAAATGAATAGTCTTCTAATAATTAATAACAAATTTATATTTATGTGATTCTTTATTCAACAATGGGGTTTCGAACACTATTGAAATTGCTTACCC